CCAAAATGACCAATTTTGGAAAGTAGGCACTTTAATGTGATCTCACTTTTGCCAAAATTTTTTGGACATGAAGAAACATGCTGGTATTAGGGTGGTCAAAAGACACACACTGATATCAAGCAATAGCAATAAAATCCTCCCTTCCCATCAATAATTGGTGTTTAATGATATTTTGAAACACCCCACCTTCCTTTTCTTTGGTAATCAGTGGAACTTTAACCCCCTACCAGCACCACCTTTTAAAATGATCCCAAAATTGTTGTGGGTCAATGGCAACCCAGGTCATAAATTGTGCTGCAGATTTCTCTGCTGATTTGTTTGTACTATTTGACAGTATTAATATGGTTAAAGTGTATGTATTTTTTTTATCTTAGATTGAATACCAAATGGTCAGTCTCCCTATGAATCTTTTATATCAAACTATGTGCTCAGCTGGATGGGATTTTCTTTTACTTCCGGTCTTGGTTATGTGCCAAGCTGGGGAAATTTCATGTCACTTCCTGTTTCCTGTCTTGTTCTCCAAAGTGTACAGAATTACTATCTTAGAGAGCTGTAATAAGGACATGTGTCCCCATTAGAGAATTTTCCCCCACCTCTTGTTTTGATGACAAACTCACTCAATATTTGCTTTCTGTCTCAGTGACAGTGGTCACCAGGTCAAATAGAGGGGGTGAATCTCTCCAACAGGTACACAGGAAAAAAAAACTTAACAGAAGGTATAATCCTTCTCTACTTTATCCAAAACTGTATAACAATTTTACTTATGCAGCATTAGTGAGATTCAGTAAAGCTGGGTACACACAAGCCGAAAATTGTGTGAAAATGGTTGGTTTGTCAGGAACTTTCAGCCCGTGTGTACAGCTCCTTGTCTGACAGAAGCCGATCTCACGGCTGGCTTCTGTTGAACTGGTATGCTGGAAAACCAGCATCTGACTGGCATCCGATCAGCTCTGGCAGCCAATGGCTGTCAATGCTGAACAGTGTGCCCTGGCAGGGAGTGGTCCCCTTGTCAGTACACATTAGCTCAAGTGGGGAGATCGCTTCACTAACATCAGATGTGTTTGTATGGACAACTGTAAGGTTTTTTTTGTTCAGCCCCCTAGGTTGAATGAAAAAACTTCCTGTGTGTACCCAGCATTAGAGCCTTACAACCTAGTCAGTAATTGAAGAGAATGGTTAGCAACCAAAAAGCTATATCTCGTAGTGATTTCCACAGTGAACTTTCCCAATCATTGCTACTGGTTTTGTTTCCGCACACTCTGAACTCTTGGGTGCTAGGAGTTTTCTTCTGTTGATAAAACAAATCAAAAACCCAAGAGAGAACATGCAGCTCCCTTCTGACCTTGAAACTCACACACAGAGATCTGCCTGCCATGGTCCTCAATAGGAAATAGGAAACCCTTTTATATGAAAACTTCAAATAATTCAGGTAAACTGACTCTTTAATTCAATATACTTCAACTTGCTTTATGGAGTCCCTTCACCATTTCTTACAGCTTTTACTTGTAACACTAGAAATATTTACCTTGAGCCTCCCCAAAGATTGCTCTCCTAAATATTTTTACTCTTCCAGTAGTGTATTAAAACTTGCCACCTGCCTGTTGAAATCTGTATCCAGTGAGAATTATGTAACAGCTAGTTATTTCTGTCTTATTAAACGGCATACAAGCTGGACTAAACTCTCCCCTCTGCTATACAGGATATTAAAGGCCGGGCCTTTGTTATAAAACCAATCTCTTCACCTCTCATGAAACCGTTGCTGGTCTTCGTTAACCCAAAAAGTGGAGGAAACCAGGTAAAGATGGCTCATATAAAATATATTCAACTATTTTTATTCTTTACTAGATAATGTTACTATTAATTTGATTTCTGTCCTTGGTTCCCTGCCTCGCTGGCTGTACCATCACTGCATTTTTCTCTAGGGTACAAAAGTGCTGCAGATGTTCATGTGGTTTTTAAATCCACGGCAAGTCTTTGACCTCTCTCAAGAGGGGCCAAGAGAAGCGTGAGTACCCTTTTGACTCCATCATATGTTACTGTAAACTTTTCCTGAGCAGGGCTGTATCACTTCGTTAAATTATTATTAGTAACAATCTAATAATGTTATCAAGATTTTATTGTCATTGTATAAAAACATACAACAACATTTTTATTTTGCATTCCCTGAATGGTACATTAAAGAATTAATACAATTACACAATATTAAAAACCTATATATACATTCATAATAATTAAACTTATGTAAAAAAGAGTCTATATATTATTCAAAAATAAAAACAGAAGAGATAACTAAAGTTAGGAAAATATTTTGGTAATTTAAAAATCAAGTATGTAGAGCATAACGGTTTGTACAGTAAAATACTGTATGCAGTATAATTGCTTGTTGAAAACAGGTTGTCCTGTGGTGTCCTTAGCAATTACCAACCAGGTATTGGCTGTATTATGCTCATCCTCTCTCTCCCCTAGTAGGAACCAGAAATACTATGAGTCAGGACATATTATTCTTTCCTCACTATGAGCTAACACATTACATATGTTGCCCAAATCTCTAGTATTTTATATGGAAGTTTATTTTCAGCTTGTTTTATCATTTGGTATACAAAAAAATCACTTTATTTCCATCTTGGTGTTTTAGGCTTGAACTGTATAGAAAAGTGCCAAATCTACGCATTCTTGCCTGTGGTGGTGATGGGACGGTAAGCATTCAATATCTGTAGCAGTTCAAAGAATTTACTGTAAAATTGCACCAAGATGCATGAGCAGAGATGGCTACTTTAGGCTCAAAAGTAATCAGAGGTGAGCAAACTGTATTTAAAAATCGAACATCCTTCAGCATGATGCTCTGCGCTAAGGATTCTATAAAAACATATTCTCTTGACAGCTACTAGCCAACACTCGGCTGTAAGCAGTCAAAATCATCTGCAGGCTTTCAAACTGTCCTTAAGACCAAAGCCAGTAAATTTTCAGTGTACCTCTGTTTAATGCTGTTGCTGAGCACAAAAGGTTGCTGGAAAAAAGAACACCAGAATAATAGTCATATATTTGAACAGATTGTTTGTACAGGTCTCTGATATTATGCAAAAAGAGGAAGCCCTGCATTAACTTCAAGCTAGGACATGTCACAACCTGGAACTTACACAAGGCTAAGCACTTTCTTCCTACCCCATGTGACAGTGCTGAACAGTGCCCAACCACTTTCACTGTCACTTCAGAGGAAAAGGAATAAGAAACATGATCTGCGCATTTGACCGCCAGGGGACAATGTTCTCTATCTTCATCTTTCTTACACTCACCAGGCTTTATGCTCATTTTATTCTGAATATTTGGCAATATACAAATAGAAGCCTCTCGTATGCATTTTTTTTTAGAACTTTTCTCATTGTAAGAGTGGACAAACAATCCATTGTGATGTGTGAGTGTCTGACATTTGTCTCAACCTCAGAATAATACAATTAATTCTATAACAGGTAGGCTGGATCCTTTCTGTCTTGGATGAACTACAGGTGAACCCTCAGCCTCCAGTTGCTGTTTTGCCTCTTGGTACAGGGAATGACCTTGCTCGAACCCTTAACTGGGGAGGGGTAAGTTTGTAAGTAGCCCTGGAGGAAAATCTTGCTGAAAGAAAAATTGTCACCTATAGTAGTAAATGGTCCTTAGCAACCTAGTATGAGATTGTGGGTGCAAGTAGCAGAAAATAGGTTTCTTCTTGAGTTTTCTAGTCTTACTCATTGAAAAATAGTGAGGGATAAGGCTTAGTGAAATACGATTTTCGCTTACTTGAAATTTCTGCAAAAATTGTGACATTTACACAGGGAGGGGCTGATGGAGGAAGTAGATCCTTCCTTAAGTTGTGTCCAATTAGAGCCAGAAAATTATGTGTTGGAAGTATCCAGGAAAGAGTGCTTGAAGGCACCATTTGGGATCCCAATGGAAAAGATCATCTCCAATGTCTAAGAGGAAAAATCTTCTGAATACTAGGGATATGTATAATAGAAGGGATATGAGCACAGCTTTACATTTTGGAATCTCCCATTGATGTCTGGAGAGGATTGAAGTAGGAAGCATCCATACCCTGGTAACCAATTGTATTCAGAGAGGATATAGAAATGTCTCCCCTTTCAGTAAGGGGACAGATATAGTCGAGGCAGTAAAGTATCTTCGAGGTTCCTTGTGGCTACGTGACTTGAGCACATGAGCACAAAAGTCAACTAACAAAAAGGTTTCCACTTCAGCTGGCTCTGACTCACACTATTACAACATAAAATAAGGCACCTTCCTAGGTTCCTGGAGAAGTATTTATGAAACATGTCAAGCCAACTGTGCCATCACCAAGATACACTTTATTGCCAAAAGTATTGGGACGCCTACCTTTTCACGTACATGAACTTTAATGGAATCCCAGTCTCAGTCCGTAGGGTTCAATATTGAGTTGGCCCACCCTTTGCAGCTATAACAGCTTTAACTCTTCTGGGAAGGCTGTCTACAAGGTATAGGAGTATGTCTATCGGAATGTTTGACCAATCTTCCAGAAGTGCATTTGTGAGGTCAGGCACTGATGTCGGACGGACGAGAAGGCCTGGCTCCCAGTCTCCGCTCTAATTTATCCCAAAGGTGTTCTATTGGGTTTAGGTCAGAACCCTATGCAGGCCAGTTAAGTTTCTATACCCCCAACTTGCTCATCCATGTCTTTATGAACCTTGCTTTGTGCATTTGTGCGCAGTCATGTTGGAACAGGAAGGGGCCATCCCCAATGGGAGCATAAAATTGTCCAAAATGTCTTGGTATGCTCACACCTTAAGAGTTCCCTTCACTGGAACTAAGGGGCCAAGCCCAAACCCTGAAAGACAACCCCACACCATAATCCCCCTTCCACCAAACTTTACACTTGGCACAATGCAATCAGTACCGTTCTCCTGGCAACCGCCAAACCCAGACACATCCATGGGATTGCCAGACAGAGAAGCGTGATTTGTCACTCCAGAGAACACGTTTCCACTGCTCTAGAGTTCAGTGGCAGTGTGCTTTACACCACTGCATCCGACACTTTGCATTGCACTTCGTGATGTAAGGCTTGGATGCAGCTGTTTGGATGTGGAAACCCATTCCATGAAGCACTGTACGCACTGTTGTGCTAATCTGAAGGCCACACGATGTTTGGAGGTCTTTAGGTTTTGACTCTGCAGACAGTTGGCGACTTCTGCGCACTTTGCGCTTCAGCATGTTCTCACCCCGCTCTGTCATTTTACGCGGCCTACCACTTTGTGTGGCTGAGTTGCTGTTGTTCCCAGTTGCTACCACTTTGTTATAATACCACTAACAGTTGACTGTGGAATATTTAGTAGCAAGGAAATTTCATGGATGAACTTATTGCACAGGTGGCAACCTATCACAGTACCACGCTTGAATTCACTGAGCTCCTGAGAGCGACCCATTCTTTCACAAATGTTTGTAGAAGCAGTCTGCATGCCTAGGTGCTTGATTTTATACAACTGTGGCCATGGAGGTGATTGGAACACCTGAGTCCCAGTATCTATATTATACAATGTTGAGAATATGAAAACAATGATGTAGTGGGGTCATGCAGAGGTGCTTTCAGTTAGGTGCTGGTTAAAGTGAAAGTCAGCCTATTTTATGAAAAACATAATTTTAATGTGTTTTGAATAAAATATTGATCCCAATTATAACATGATCATAATTTCATTGACCTTAAAAATCCAAGGAAATTTGCTGTTGTCCTTAGTATATTTTCAAAATGACCTGAGAATTTTCTAGTACAGGGGTGGGCAAACTTTTTGACTTGAGGGCCGCAATGGGTTCATATATTAGACCCGGGGGCCGGACCAAGAGTAGATGTATGATGTGTATGTGTCATCCATAGTAAGTATAGTAATATTCCCCCATAGTAAGCATAGTAATTAATCCCCCATATAGTAATTCATCCCCCATATAGTAATTCATCCCCCATAGTAATTCATCCCCCATATAGTAATTCATCCCCCATAGTATAGTAATTCATCCCCCATAGTAATTCATCCCCCATATAGTAATTCATCCCCCATAGTAATTCATCCCCCCTATAGTAATTCATCCCCCATAGTAATTCATCCCCCATAGTAATTCATCCCCCATATAGTAGTTCATCCCCCATATAGTAATTCATCCCCCATATAGTAATTCATCCCCATAGTAATTCATCCCCCATATAGTAATTCATCCCCCATAGTAATTCATCCTCCCTATAGTAATTCATCCTCCCTATAGTAATTCATCCCCCATAGTAATTCATCCCCCATATAGTAATTCATTCCCCATATTAATTCATCCCCCATATTAAGTCCCCAAGTCCCCCCTGTGTCAATTCACTTACCTTTGCTCCGCGCGTTCCTCTCGCCGTGTTCCCGCGCCGTTCCGGTGTAGCATGAAAATCTGTCTCCTTTGAGGATCTGTCCCCCTCGACGTATCTGCGCATGTGCCAGTTTCAGGCATTAGCAGCCGATCGGCGATCTCCGGCACATGCGCAGATACGTCGAGGGGGACAGATCCTCATAGGAGACAGATTTTCATGCTACACCGGTCTTCAGGGCGGACTGTGAGAGGAGCCTAGCGGGAGCCTAGCTCCGCGGGCCGGATTAAAAGGTCCGCCGGGCCGTAGTTTGCCCATTGCTGTTCTAGTATCTAACAGAAGAAACTGAAATTTGGGCTAAGCTAAGATAACCGGACTAGCCTGCTTTGCCTGCTTACCATAGACTCCTACAAGTTAAGTGGAAAGTGAATAAATTATTGATTTAAAAAATATACTTATCTGGTTTATTTACTAACGTTTGTTCACTCAGAAATTGCCAATCAGCTAACCTCAGCTTGCTCAATTAAGCTTTAGTAATAAAACATGTAAGCTGATTGGTTTCTGTGCAGAAGTGCACAAGACTCTGAGTAAACCAGCTTTAGTAAATAAACCCCTATGTGTCTGTTTAATACTGTTGGTGTGCACAGTATCTAAGGCTTTATGTTTAGTGATCCTTCACACTCTTCTTCCTCCTGATCAGGGTTATACAGACGAACCTGTCTCCAAGATCCTCTGCCATGTGGAAGATGGCACCATAGTGCAGCTGGATCGCTGGAACTTACATGTAGAGAGGAACCCGGATCTTCTTCATGAGGAGCTGGATGATGGGACTCATAAGGTCAGAGGTCAGAGGCTGTGCCCTGGGGTCTGGGGGTTGTAAGGTCTTACAGTCTCAGAATGGAAAATATCAAAGATGTCTTATCGTTAATCTGAACAACCATAGAGGAATGATTGATTCTGTTTGTTAGGTTAAACTGTACACATGTTGGTTATTTACAGTGTTTGGAAAAAATATTCGTACCTCTTGAAATTTTCCACATTTTCTCATGTTACAACCAAAAACGTAAATGTATTTTATTGGGATTTTATGTGATAGACCAGTGGTAGCGAACCTATGGCACGCGTGCCGCAGCGGGCACACAGAGTCCTCTCTGTTGGCACATGAGCCAAGTTGTCCCAGCATCACCCCTGCAGCTGCGCATCAGATAACAGAGCACATAGGGGCCATGTGCATGCTCGGAAAGGAGTAGCAGCGCCAGGTGATGATGTCCAGAGCCGAAACTCATTAGCTGCAACTTGTCCGAGCTTTCGCATGGCAGGTAAGTGCACTGCCAAGGATATATATATTGGACTGGCTGGGCGTTTTAACACATTCGTTTTTATTAACACACGATTTTAGCTTGTGCTGGTGGTCAGTGGAACTTTGCCCCCTTGTGCTGGTGGTCATTGGAACTTTGCCCCCTTGTGCTGGTGGTCATTGGAACTTTGCCCCCTTGTGCTGGTGGTCATTGGAACTTTGCCCCCTTGTGCTGGTGGTCAGTGGAACTTTGCCCCCTTGTGCTGGTGGTCAGTGGAAGCTCTTTTAATGTACGGGTTGTTTTTTCTAAACTAAAACCTCAGTATTCAGGTTTAATTGCAGTGTTGGCACTTTGCGATAAATATGTGTGTTTTGGGTTGCAGTTTGAGCACTCGGTCTCTAAAAGGTTTGCCATCACTGTGATAGACCAACACAAAGTGGCACATAATTGTGAAGTAGAAAGAAAATGATAAATGGTTTTCAAAGGTTTTTACAAATAAATATGTGAAAATTGTGGCGTGCATTTGTATTCAGCCCCCCCCTGAGTCAATACTTTGTAGAACCACCTTTCGCTGCAATTACAGCTGCAAGTCTTTTTGGGGATGTCTCTACCAGCTTTGCACATCTAGAGAGTGAAATTTTTGCCCATTCTTCTTGCAAAATAGCTCAAGCTCTATCAGATTGGATGAAGAGTGTCTGTAAACAGCAATTTTCAAGCCTTCAGATTCTCAATTGGATTTAGGTCTGGACTTTGACTTGACCATTCTAACACATGAATATGCTTTGATCTAAACCATTCCATTGTAGCTCTGGCTGTATGTTCAGGGTTCTTATCCTGCTGGAAGGTGAACCTCCGCCCCAGTCTTAAGTCTTTTGCAGACTCTAACAGGCTTTCTTCTAAGATTGCCCTGTATTTGGCTCCATCCATCTTCCCATCAACTCTGACCAGCTTCCCTGCCCCTGCTGAAGAAAAGCATCCCTACAACATGTGAAGAGGAGTTCGTAGGGAGTATCTGCCTTGGAGAGCAGTGGAGGGACACAGTGGGAATAGGCACTAGAGCAGCACTTCCAAGAGTAGAAGCAGACTCTGGGCAGGACAGAAGAGAACAAGAAGTGCAGTACCTCCACATGTTTATTGATGAAAACGGTTAAAACCACAGATGATAAGGCTCAGGCATTTTAAAATGTCAATGCAGGGCTCCTGTCACTGTCTTCTGGAGTTCACTTTGCTGGCCAACAGCAGCAGGGGGAGCTCAGGTGCAATTCCATGATGGCTGCCACTCTTCCTGAGCCTCCGTGAAACGTGGAATGCACGTCCCGGAAGTGACGTCAAAGGTGGTCGGTAAAGCGTTTTGGAGCATGGGCAATCGGTCTTTCATCAAGATGGTCTTGATTAAGGAGCGATTGCACATGCTCCGAAACTTAAAACCTTTTGAAAACCATTTATAATTCTTCCACTTCACAATTGTGTGCCACTTTGTGTTGGTCTGTCACATACAATCCCAATAAAATACATTTAAGTTTTTGGTTGTAACATGACAAAATGTGAAAAATTTCAAGGGGTGTGAATATTTTTTCAAGGCACTGTAAATGGATATCCAGTATAGCTGAAAGTGGATGTACCTCTGTGCTTCCCATACATGTTTGCTTCTTGCTAAAATAATAAAGGGCAAAGTTTCATGTATTATACTAAACTTTATGCGACAAAGAAGCAGGTTCCCTACTCCACCCAGTTGTGCTATAGATGGGGTTGTAATCTGGTTTCTGTTAAAAAAAAAACATTCAATAGAAACCGTAAAACATTAAAGTGCTGTAGTATTTGATTACAGTGCATTTATAATGGTTAGCCCTTCTTTTTTTTTCACAAACGACTTCATCCAGGGAAGAAGATAAAGATTTCTTAAAGTGGTAGTAAACTAATTTTTTTTATACTTTTACCTACAAGTAAGTATAATAAAGCTTACCTGTAGGTAAAATGAATATCGCCTAAACGTGCACCGCTTAGGAGATATTCTAGTGAGCTTTGTGTGTCGCAGCCACAGCTTTCGCACGCATGTGTGGAAGTGACATCATTGTGGCTTCGGCTATTCAAGCAGCCACAACCCAGGAACCCGGAAGGAAAACCGGGTGAAGATGGAAGCCTCTGCAGCGATGACAGCGCACCGCTGGAGGGCTTCGTTCTCCGGTACTGTAAGTCTTTCATATTGTGCTAGTATGCGGTGCATGACATGTATGACATTACCTTGCAGGGGAAAACCTTTTTTTTCTTTAGGTTTACTACCGCTTTAAAGAATGAAGGGGATTATTAAGGAAATACCTATGTTTCTTTTTTTAGTTTTAACAGTTTAAGTTTTACCCCTGTAATACATACTGTATATGTGTACCTATGATCAAATGCTGCAGTGATCTTGTTAATACCTCTTGATAAAAGGCCAACACAGTTCCAAATGAACTACAGGTTACACTGAAGCCAAACTCCAGGCAAAGCAACAGATACATATTTGTAAATAATCTTCACTGCCAAACGATTAGTATTCATTCTGGCCACTTTTGTGATTTATACATCTCTGTCACACAACACACCACTTTCTCTGTTAAGGCTCATACACACCAGCGTGCATTAAGGTAAGCATAATGCAAGCCCTGGGTGCGTTATGCATGCACGCTGTGATCCATTGTTAAAACACATTGCAGTGCTTGCTTTCCTCTTTCTGAACTTTATATAACTT